AAAGACCCAAATTGGTCAGAATCTCCACTGCCAGACACTTCATTGAACACCATACTTACAAAATTTTCCATAGGGGTGTGTGTGTGTGTGTGAGAGAGAGACAGACAGAGACAGAGACAGAGACAGAGAGGGGGGGCTTATGAATAAAATTCTTACCTCCACAGTTCAAATCTGTGATGCATTAGCTGGTTTTAAATTCAAATATACCACATGCACCACAACTGAAGCAAACAAGCTGTGATTTGTTTTGACCTCTTTTGTTTTCTTCTTCCTTTGTGTGTTTTGTGGTGGTGAGAACTGAACTTGAAATATTACTCATGCTAGGCAAATGCTCTACTATTGAACTATAACTCTACTCCCTTAACTTTTGGAACTAAGATTAATGATAAAGTTTAGATAAACACAATATAATCAAAATTGCTAGGTGTGGTGTTGCATGCTTTTGAACCTGACTCTTGCTGGACAGAGACAGGTGGACCTTAGTTCAAGGCCAGCCTGGTCTACAGAATGGGTTCCAAGACAGAAACCCTGTTTTGAAAAACCCAACAGTCAAGTGGTGGTGGTGGTACACGGCTTTAACCCAGCACTTGGGAAGCAGAGGCAGGCGGATCTCTGTGGGTTTGAGACCAAGTCTGGTCTACAGAGTTCCAGGACAGCCAGGGATAAATCAAAAACAAACAAACAAACAAAAAACCCAAAAAAACTGTAGAAACAAAAACAAAACTAAGTCATCATCTATTAAGGGGAACTAAAAAAACTGATATTGATTCAACTATCCTTTAGTATATATTTAGTAGTAACAACTGTGCTGAGTTGTTAATGATCCAGATATTAGGACATCTAAAATTATGTATCCAGCATGTAACTGTTATTAAATACAGCAGGGTGAAAAGCTGAAGAAATTAGTATCCAACAAAAACCTACTCTAGGCTGTATCTTATTTTTGAGACAGTGTCTCATAGAGCCCAAGATGACCTTGAACTTGTAATACTCCTTTTTCCTGCCTTTCCTGTGAGTGCTGGGATTATAGGTTTATGCGTCTACACTCAGTTTTACTCTGTGCTAGGAACTGAACCCAGGACTTTGAACATATCAGCCAAACACTAAACTATATCCCCAGCATCTGATACATTTGTAATTTAAATTTTTTTCTAGAAATAAAGTCAAAACAAACAAAAACTTACCTTATCTAATTTAATTATACTCAAAATGTTAATGTCCATATGTAATCAACTTAATAAATCAAGACTCTTACATTCTTGAAATTATTGTTATTTTATAATTATAGTGTACTTCAATTTAATAATTTTTTTTTTCCAGGTGAGGTTTCTCTTTGTAGTCTCAGAATTCCTTCTGTAGACCAGGCTGGCCTCAAACTCAGAGATCCACCTGCCTCTGCCTCCCAACTTCTTCGATAAAAGGCATGTAACAACAACGCCCAGCTCGAAACTTACATTTTAAATGTGTAATAGCCACATGTAGCTTAGTGGCTACCATGCTGCAGAATAAGCCATCAACCAGAGAAGAAAAACCTGCCTTATATAGAAGTAAGTTTATTGGGCAAAGATTTCAACTAATAAAAGGAGGTAATATCCAGCAAAGACTTGCTCATTATAGTTTCTAAGTTGGAGAAACTGAAATGCAACATATTTTCTGTAGCTTCAAACCAATGGGTAGTTTACCTGTGCAATGTTGGGAAACTGCAGATACATTTATTTTCTATGCTCTATTAATGATGTACCTCATCATAAAAGGACATATTAATAAATCTAAAGTTGTGTATTGTTTTGTTTTGTTTTTTAATTACGTATTAACCACATTCAAGTGGAAAACATCTAAGGCCAAGACAAAGGGAATTTCTAAATCCTGCTTGGGCAAAAGGGACTTAAAAACAAATGCCTTCGAAGTAGTGCCATATGCCTTTAAAACCAGCACTCAAGACAACCAGGTGGATCTCTCTGAATTGAGGCCAGACTTGTCTACATACATACCCCGTATGATGAGATTCAAGAAAAACAAGAAAAAAAACACAGGTCCCTCCCAACACAGCAGTTTCACCACATAAATCATTCCCACTAAGTTTTTATAGTTGTAACCACTGGAAAGTTCTCAATTTGTTTTGTGAAAACAGGTCTCCCTTCATAGCCCATGATGGCTTCCAACTCAAGATCCTCCTAAGTCTCCCAGGTGCTGGAACAAAGTTTGGGCAAAAGATCTCAAAAATGGTTCTCCCTTTGTTTTTAGAAAAGAAAGCTTCAAAGGCACAGCAATTCTTTGTGTCTTACAAAATATGAACATTTCTACTTGATTTTGCAATACAGTCCTAATTATTTTACTACTCAAAATTTCATCCAAGCCGGGCGTTGGTGGTGCACGCCTTTAATCCCAGCACTCAGGAGGCAGAGCCAAGCGGATCTCTGTGAGTTCGAGGCCAGCCTGGTCTACAGAGCAAGATCCAGGAAAGGCGCAAAGCTACACAGAGAAACGCTGTCTCTGAAAACCATTTAAAAAAAATCATCCAGTTGGGCGGTGGTGGCGCACGCCTTTAATCCCAGCATTCGGGAGGCAGAGGCAGGCGGATCTCTGTGAGTTCGAGGCCAGCCTGGTCTCCAAAGCGAGTTCCAGGAAAGGCGAAACCCTGTCTCGAAAAACCAAAAAAAAAAAAAAAAAAAATCATCCAAAGGAATTTCCATATTTCATCCACCTTATTGAAAAAAGTATAGCCCTCATAGCAATATGAATATACTTAATGCCACTGTGCTATATATTTAAGAAATGGCCAAAACTAAGGTTTATGTTAGATAAAAAGGATTAACTGAGGGGCTACCTAAAAGTAGGGGAGGGGAAAATGGGTTAAAGAAAAACAAGTCAGTTTTCACAATCTTCATTGGCTGGAAATTTACTACAATTCTCAATCACTCCTTTAAAGGTTACACTTAAGTCAGAACTTATTTACAAAAAGAAAACCTATCTTCTGTACTTCAAATACTTTGCTTTTCAACTCAGCTGCTATAAATACTCATCTTGATGGGAAACATCCAGAGCAGCTGCAAAATCTAACTGCTACCATCTTTTTTTTATTTCAGTACTAAGACTAAAAAGAAACAAGGATAAATATTATACCTAAGGTTTATATTTTTTCAAGACACAGTCTGTGTATCCCTTACTGTCCTAGAACTCAATCTGTAGACCAGGCTGGCCTTGAACTCAAGAGATCCCCATGCCTCTGCCTCCCAAGTGCTGGGATTAAAGGTGTGCGTCACCACCTGAATTTTACAACTCATACACACAGGGGTGTTTGGCTACTTATGTACTTCATCCTCTTATCCACATTAATAACTACACCGCCCCTCAATTGAGTACTGAGTTTGCCTTCTAGCACCTCAAATTGAAAAAAAGAGCACCAGGCACGGTGCCTTTACTCCTAGCACCTGGGAGGCAGACAGGCAGATCTGCAACTTCAAGGTGATGGTCTACAAACTCTGAACTCGAAGGCTAGCCAAGGCCACACAGAGACCCTATTTCAAAAAAAAAAAAAAAAAGGAAGAAGACACACCGAGCATTTTGGTAGCTTGAATTAATGCCCTATAATTTGGAACTTACTTTTTTAAAAAGTAGGCTGGAGCAAGCAGTCCAGAGGTGAAGACTGGACAGCCAGTTCAAGGCTAGCGCAGGCTACATAGTTCAAGGCCAGCTTGAAGTGCATAACCAGAAAGAACGACAAACTTGGCAGCTCTTTGAACTACCAGTTAGCAGCAGCCTAACAAAATTTAAATGTCCAAACTCAACTACCACAATTGAGCAGCCCTAGTCCCTTTCTGCCTGTTTCCCCCTCTACTGCTTAAATACCACTATCCTTTTGCTCATTGTAGTTGCAAAATAAGGAAACTAAGTAGCCTAATAATGTTCAGATTGTTTTCTGCAGTGTGGAGCCTGTTTTAATACTCCCCATTCACCTGCGAGTCAAGTTAAGCGTCCAGCCACACATGTGTTTCTAAGGGAAACTATAAAGCAAAAGGACCGTAGCACTAAGATTTCATACTGCTGAAACATTCGATGGTAAAATCCTCCCATTTTGTCTCCGACTAGTGCTCTAAAAATATAAACATAACAAAGCTAAGGCATTCATTGCACAACGTAGGCCAGCGCTTGCACCATGTAGGGAGGGCATCACGGAACTCTCCTAACGAATGCCATTTACCCGAGACAGAAGGGTGGGAGACACGTGCCCAGGCTGGGACCCGGCTCCCTTTTTCAAATGTCAAGGTGCAAAGTTAGGAGCGGAGATCCAGCCGTAAGTGACTGTGAGTCAAAATGTCAATTCTGCCGCGCTAGGGTTAGATATGTCCCTAAGAGGTGTCCCTAAGCACTTCCTCTATGAGGAGCGGGGTCTCGACCCACACACAAAGAAGGCGCCACTGCCGCACTGCGCTCTGGTAGTCGTAGTCATATCCCCAAAGCCAGTGACGGCCAAGAAAGACAAGATCCTGAAAAAAGTAGGCCCTTCTCCCAGGCCTCTTCCAGCTGCACACAAAGGACCGCGCCACCACCCCCTCCGCCCCTCCCGCCGGGACTTGTAGTTCCCTTTCCCCCAGCCAAGCCGCAGAGGGGGGAGAGGGCGGACTACAGCTCCCGGCAGCCTCTGCGCCCGAGCCCCGCACCCTCTGCCTCCATCTTGGCTGCGGCCGGAGCCTCCATTTTTCGCTCCCTCCCCCCACTCCAGTCACAGTCACAACCACCACCACCACCACCGCCGCCACCACGCGCGTCTCCGGGCCTCACTCCTCACTGTGCCCCCGAAGCCTGCCGTGGGGCCCAGACGGTTGAGCCGGGGACGAATGGGGAAGCCTGGAGTAGGAGCTCACACTGCGAGCTGCCCTACCCGGAATTCCAAGAGTGCCCACCTTGACTCAGAAGTCTCACCCGCTAGTCAGGGTCTCCTCACCTGTCCGCGGTCTGGCTTCTTGCTACCCCCCACTGGACACCGAGGTCGTACTCACCCCAACAGCTCAGCGCCCCCTCTCCAGCGCCGCCATAAGCAGCACGGCCCGGTACGTAGGAATAAATCTCGCTTCTCTCGCGAGAGTTGCAGGCTCCGAGCGCGTGCACGGGAGGGTGGGGGGGGGGAGGAGAGTGCTCTTAGTACGCTTGCGCGCCAGGGTTGAGTGACGCCAACGAGTGACCAGCGTTTATCCGCAAGCAAGATGGTAACTGTGCTCTTTTATACTCTCACTCCCGAGTACCGCCCGAAGCAATCTCGGCGTTTACTGACTCCGCTGGGACGCAGTGGGCGGGGCGGCGAGTGACTTTAGGCGTCTCTGGTCTCCCCGAGCCCCAGGGTTTCAGGCAGGGAGGCTTGAGTAAACCCTGAGCAGGAACAGCTCTGAAGGCAGATCCCGGAATGTCACCAAGAAAGGATTTCACTTTCCTCAGCAAACACCCAGGAGTCCTTAAACCGCAGGTTTTCTTTAGTCACCGGGCGTTCTGTCTCCTGTCTCCTACAGTAGAGTGGATTTCATTGGTTTAGAGACAAGTTTTTAACAAAGTAATTAATTTGTAAATCTGAACCTTTGTCTTCCAGAAACTACATTGCTTGCCACAGACAAAAATGAGCAAGGCTAGCCAGCCGGTGGTGGCGCACGCCTTCAATCCCAACTCTTAGGAGTCAGCAGGCGGAACTCTGAGTTCGAGGCCAGCCTGTCTATGAGCGAGTTCCAGGCCAGCCAGAGCTACACAGAGAAACCCTGTCTCAAAAAAAACAGAAAAAGAAAATGAAAGCGGGAGAAGGGTAATGAGTGAGGCTGTGTAATTAATAAAATGAAAAACTCTGCAAGCCACTTTAACTGTCCTTTTCAGTTACCAGAAGATATTTGTAGTATGCCAGTCTGAATAAATATTTAAAAGGCTGAAATCAGGGTAAGAGGGATTATTCATTTGAAGTAGAGTGTGATGGTTAAATCTGGCCACTGCAAACGTCAGTAGATTTCAAATAATAAAGAATCCTCTAGTAAAGGAAATACTTTATACAGGTTCAATGGCCATCTTATTTTTGTTTTCTGTTTGATTGGTTTTTTGTTTTTTGAGACAGCTTCTCTGTGTATCCCTGGCTGTCCTGGAACTCTCTCTGTACACCAGGGTGGCCTAGAATTCAGAGATGGCCTGCCTGTCTCTCAAGTGCTGAGATTAAAGGTTAAAGGTATGCAACACACACCACCTGCCCGACATTTCTTTTTCTTTTTCTTTTTTTTTTTTTTTTTTTGAGACAGTCTCTATTGTCTGTTCTGGAACTCACTGTGTAGACCATGATGGCCTAGAATTCAAAGAGATCTGCCTACCTCTGCCTCCAAGTGCTGGAATTAAAAGCATGAGCCACCACCTCCAGGCACAATTATCTTTTTGTATGTGGCTGCCATATCCTATGCATATCCATCTACCATCAATTAACAGTAAAATTATCAAAACTTCAATGGAAAAAGAAAAAAATTAAACTTTACACTTTATTCAATTTTCTTGTATGATTTTTGTGATGTATACAGCAATAAAGAAAAATGGAATGCTAGGGTCTGTGGCACATGTTTGTAGTTCTAGCCACTTGGGAGACTGAAGTAAAGTTATGAAAAATGTATTGAGACCAGTGTGGACAATTGAGTGAGAATTTGCCTCAGGATACCTAGATAGTTATAGATGAGAGCCAGCATGGAAGTGCGCGCCTTTAATCCCAACACTCATTAGGAGGAGGCAGGTGGATCTCTGAGTTCCGGAAGAACCTACATAGTGGGTTCCAGCAGCCAGGACAGCTGGGTGGTGGTGGCACAGGCCTCCTTTAATGCCAGCATTTGGGAGCAGAGGCAGATAAATCTCTGAATTGTAGACCAGTTTGGTTTACAGAGTGAATTCCAGGACAGCCAGGACTACACAGAGAAACCCTGTCTCAAGAAACCAAAAAAAAAAAAAAAGAAGAAGAAGAAGAAGAAAGAAAGAAAAGAAAAAAGGGTCTATGTAAATAATAGACCCTTTCTTTAAAAAAAAAATTAAAAATAAAGAGTGAGGGACTGGGTTACTAACTCCTCTCTGCTCCATTCAGCAAATCTTTTCTATTCTTTTTTTTTTTTCTTCGAGACAGGGTTTCTCTGTGAAGCTTTGGAGCCTGTCCTGGATCTTGCTCTATAGACCAGGCTGGCCTTGAACTCATAGATATCCACCTGCCTATGCCTCCTGAGTGCTGGGATTAAAGGTGTGCGCCACCACCACCCAGCTTAGCATACTTTATTTAACAAACTGACTCTGATTCTTCTATAAAAATAATAAAAACAGCCGGGCGGTGGTGGCGCACGCCTTTAATCCCAGCACTTGGGAGGCAGAGGCAGGCGGATCTCTGTAAGTTCGAGGCCAGCCTGGGCTACCAAGTGAGTCCCAGGAAAGGCACAAAACTACACCGAGAAACCCTGTCTCGAAAAAAAACAAAAACAAAATAATAATAATAAAAACAAGAGAAGAAAAGGAGTTGATGTATCTTGGTGGTCCTAGGTTCACACAGAAAGGAAAAAGAAAAATGGATGTTGTTCTGTTCTCAAAGAACTTTCAGCTTAACTTCATTGAATAATCACAAAGCGAATATAAATGTGTAAGTGGAATAAAGGAAAGATGCACAGTATTAGAATAGGTAACCTCGTTATGAGCAAATCATGAGAGGAGGCAGTTTCCTTTTTCTGTTGGAAAGTTTCCTCTCATCTCTGTTGCTGTTGGCCCAGTTTCCATCTATGCCACTGTAAGAGCCAAAGTTTACATTTTAAGTTATAATTATTATCCCTGAGAGATCCATGAAACAAAAATGCCTTGGATCTGCAAGCCTCTTGCCCAAGGATAGATAGTTCCTGAAATGCTAGAGGCTATTATGGGAGATTAAAAAGCCACATGTTTTTCATTCCCCTAAACAATTTAGTTTGACCCATCTGCATGGATGTGCTTGATCACATGTGTGGGAGGTTCACAGGCAGGAAATTCGTCAGGATGTATGCTTGTCCCTGATGGGACCTGATGGGAAATATGTTAATGGATACATACTGACTGGGGTCATTTTTCTGGGGAACTAGAGATGGACCTGGCCAGAGCCTATTTTTTTGGTCAGTATTTAATTAAAGCTTGCTTCAAATTTGGCTTTAAATTGTGGTAATGGGCCGGGTGGTGGTGGCACATGCCTTTAATCCCAGCACTCGGAGGCAGAGGCAGGCAGATCTCTGTGAGTTTGAGGCCAGCCTGGTCTCCAAAGCGAGTTCCAGGAAAAGCGCAAAGCTACACAGAGAAACCCTGTCTCGGGGGGAAAAAAAAACAAAAACAAAAACAAAAAAGAAAAAATTGTGGTAATGGTTTCATTCTCAACCGGTGGGATTAACACCACCTCAGTGCCTTCTTTGATGTCTTACTATACTTTCCTAAGCACAGATAGCTGCTCTCTTATAAATATTAGTTTGTACCAAATAGTGATAGATACTACCAGATAGTAGTCCTTCGGGTCAGGACTACTGACACTTATTTTGCCTCCCTGGTTGCTGACAGTGCCTGGCCTAGACAACTTTGAAAGGCTTGAATGAATAGCACCGGGCAGCTGTTCATAGGATAGCAGGGAAGGTGTTAGAAATTGGGAGCTGGGTGTGGTGGTCCATTCTTGTAATCCCAGCACTCCAGAGACGGAGGATCAGAATTCAAGGCTACATAACAAGCGTCAAACCAGCCTAAGGGATATGAGCCTATGAGCCTCTCTCTCTCTCTCTCTCTCTCTCTCTCTCTCTCTCTCTCTCTCTCTCTCTCTCACACACACACACACACACACACACACTAAAAAAATAAAACCCAATGCCCTAGAGAAGTATAGAATGCAAACACTTCAAAATAGCTGTTTTGTTTTATTTGCCTTTTGTTGTTGTTGTTTTGTTTTTTCAAGACACGGCTTCTCTGTGTAGTTTTGGTGCCTTTCCTGGATCTCGCTCTGTAGCCCAGGCTGGCCTCGAACTCACAGAGATCTGCCTGGCTCTGCCTCCCGAGTGCTGGGATTAAAGGCGTGCGCCACCGCAGCCGCAGCCCGGGTATTTGCCTATTTCTTAAATTCAGATATTCTCCTTTCCCTGGCTCCACATCAAGTTTTGGAATTCTCATCTAATGTTACAAAAGAACGGACTTGGGCTCCTGTAGGAGAAGCAAGGTCATGTGAGACTGGACTAAAAGTAGAATTAGGTCTAGAAGCACACATTCACAAATATCACAGCAAAGGGAAATGTTAAACATAATAGTGTCACTGTGTTCTTATCAGTATAATTCATGTGGATAAAAATAAAATAAATAGCCAGGCGGTGGTGGCACACGCCTTTAATCCCAGCACTCAGAAAACAGAGCCAGGAGGATCTCTGTGAGTTCAAGACCAGCCTAGTCTACAGAGTGAGATCCAGGACAGGCACCAAAACTACACAGAGAAACCCTGTCTTAAAAAAAAAGCTAACTATGTGATTTCTAGTGTTACAGGAGGCTTTAACCCTTAAATGGTCACTTAGCCTTATTTTGGGCATGCCCCAATTTCTTGATCAGTTTGTATTTAACACAAACTACGTACATCTAAACCCAGAAATATGTTATTATGTTTTAGCTACTAAGGCAAGAGGATTGTGAGTTACTGAACAATACCTTATCTCAGAGGGGTGGTGGTGGGTTATCTTTCCCACAAGATCATAGTACTACTCTTCTAGAGGCCTAAGGATAGCCTAGGTTGCTATATATCAAGACGCTGTCTCAAAAGCAAAAACAAAACAATATAAATTAAAGAGGAAACTTGGAAAATCATCTATACAAAGGAGTAATCATGGATTTGGGGGAGATAGTTAATCTATTTAAGGAACAATTCTCAGGAAAAAATGATTAATTATTTTTGCTCATTTATCAGATTTATTTTTATGTTCTCAGAAACTTAGCCAAGGAAACTGGTTATGGCCCTGTGCTTTTTTTTTTTGTCTCTGCAACTATCAATAAGCACCTTAGCTCTGGAATCTGAAAATCAAAAGTCATCAGCTTTGTAAGAGCCAAATACACTCCCAACCCAATTGCTTACATGTGTAGACAATTTTTAAAATTTGTGTATTGGTGTTTTACCTGCATGTGTGTGCTTTGA